TGTTGCAGCGGAGAATCTTCCTTTTCGTAGTTACCGTGTAGACCTCTATCCAGGGGTAGTCTCTAAATACCAATATGATCTAGATCAAACTGTTTATGACTTTCATACACGGATACCAAGTTTGGCTTCTCTTAGCTTTCTTCTAATCTACTCATACTCTGATCAAAAATTAACCTGTTACATGTGACCAGTAGTTTACTGCATTGCCTAGGTAATGGACAGTTATTTGTTTTACGATATCCAAGTAACATTTCAAAGATAATTGCGATCGAAAACTTTTAGCCTATAAATATCTACTTTCATAGAATATACTTCATTAGGATCGAACAAAATAGAGCGAACTGTTGTACAGTATATTCTTTTTTAACTTACAGATGTCTCGCTTACGTCATAGCTGCAGAACATACAACTTTGATAAGCACTGGGCGATATTAACATTTTCGAAGAAAGCTCGCAATAAACTCGACAATGACCATAAGTTATCGAGTAAAATTCATTAATATGGTTCACATATATTTTGAGCACATCCTTCAGCATAAATACTGTTCCTACAAGTCTAGGCTGACGGAGCAGAATTCTGTCGTAAGATTAACTAATATTATTACATTTAAAGGTCATTATGAATCCGTGTGTTTTAAAAGCTGTTAAGAAGTGCATTAGTCTTCAACATATCCATATCCAGGTCTGAGACCTCTTTGGTTTTTTTTTTCAGGTCTACTGTTACTAAGCTCTATTTAGGTATCAGATCATTACGAATAGTGATATTTTAAGAATCGTAAAAACATAACAGTTTAAGTATATTTACTACTCATAGTTTCTAAGATAATATATAAACGAACATAGCATTACTAACATAGTCCTCATAAACCATATCTTATCTATTCAATGATAGTTGTTGATAAATCAAATTTTGGATTCCAATTTATCTTGTTAAACAATTACATTTTAACTTTAAAAAATGAATTAAATATTTTCATATTAATTAAAACAATAATAATAAAATGTAATTATTTTCACTTTTATGTATATATATATACTTAAAATAGAAAGTATTCAAATTAAAGTAGGCTGAAATACTTTCCAAAGCATAAAATGACACATACATTCCTAATAAGAAATATTATTGCAAAAATATTCTGGCAGTAGTACTAAGTAGTATTAAGGTATAAACGATATGTTTTAAAAATGGGAAATTCTTTTGCAAATATGATGTGCTATAAAATAAGATAGAATTAAATGTGTAGAAATGGCTTTAAACGCTAAATTTGACGATTTCATTGAAATTTTGAACTGATTCAAATTGAAATACCAATGAAAATCTGGAATGATTGAATGGTTATGTAATACTAGTAGTGGAACTCCACAAACTCACATTTAGGAGTTGAACCCAAGATGTTAAGTCTCACATGAGACCAGTTTAACTTTAGACAACTGTACTAGAATTCAACGTTATTAATGTCTAACTTCAATGAATCTGAAATTCAAGGAGATAATTTCGAAATTTTGCAAGCCCTAGTTATTAAAATATCTAATTCTCTTCAAATATGGAAAAATAACTTTTTTTTAACTTTTAAATTACTCTAATAATTCTGAATCTATTTTAATGTTAGAGGTGATATGATAACTTTTTGTTTGTTTGTTTGACATTTGATTTGATTGACTTTTATTAGTTTTTACTTAGAAACATCTTAAAAACAAAAAAAATATGATCCGACGTTTCAAATTATTTCACCCAAATATAACTGGCCATTAATTTTTTTTTAGAGCAATTTCTTCTTAGTGTTGTACATTTACAAAATTTATTTAAAAAAAAAAGACGAATTAGATTAAACTCCCATTTTACCTAAAAGCAAATACACATTAACAAAATGATTTATAAATTAAGACTGATTTACTTAATCAGTGGTTATTTGATCGATTATTGATTTTAGTATTTTAAATACAAAAAAAAAATCAATTTATAACATGATAATCGTATATGGAAATGTGATTAAACAGGTTAGTACTAATTAAATATGAATAACTTTATAATACTTTGTAAATTCATTATTTGATGGAATAATAATGGGATGTTGTTGTCAACCAAATCAAATGAATCATGAAAGAAAATATAAACAGTGGAATACATATTCAGTATCTTGTTATGAAAATTGTAGTAAGTTCCAATACGTTATACATTTCTCATTCATAGTGTTAACCAATTTTGATAAATCAAAGTGTATTAAGAATATTCTGATGTAATATACGTTGACTATTATATTATAATTGTTGCAATAGAAATTATTACAAGTCCAGTGAAGTAGTCTAGGTTTAACATATATATATGTCAGTTTAGAAACTAAATTAAGCGCTGGTACGAAATATAATGGAAAAGTATAATTGTAGTCTATTCAGTCGTTATGGCTTTAGGTGGTGAAATAAACATATCAAATGTTATCTATTGATAAGCTACAATTTAATGTATTAAAAACATAGTTGTTAAAAATGAAAATGATTAGTT